GAGGGGCTGATCTGGCTGGGGCTGCCCAGGAGCCTCAGAACAGCAACCTGAACCGCCTCTCTAGCGTGGGGGTGAACCCCTGCCCCTCCCCCATGTTCCTGGGAGCACATATCACTGTCATGCCCTCGGTGTGCCTTGGCATGGCCATGACACACTTTGCTCATCAAACAGCTGCGGCACAACCCGGATATAGCCTGACAGCATGCCGGGCATAGTGGGGAGAGCAGGGGAACTAGGAGGAACCGGGAAATGCTGGGGACAGCAGGGGCACCATGACCCCTCCATCCTGCCAGCTGCACCAAGCTGGAACTGGTTTAAGGCTGGCAAGGTGACGCCAGGGACAGACAGCGTGGGCAGGGTGAAGGCCACATCTGGTGGTGATGTTGGGGTTTAGAGTACAGGGGGGCCTCCCCACTCCCTCGCAGCAGCTCTAGGGTGCCAGAGCCAGTGCTGTGGCTTCATGCTCCCAGTGGCTGGTGGAGCGTGGCAGGTTGATGAGAAAACAATTGCTTTGATGTTCCCGTCAGCTGGAAACGCAGCAATGGGGGTGGGGGTAGCAGGGAAGAGGGGGATGTGGAAAGAGGGATTGGAGAGATAAAAGGTGGGGTGGAGGGGTGGAGAAGAAAAAGTAGAGACAGAGAGATGCCTGCAGCAACCCCTGCCCATGTACAAGCAGCATGGAGCCCCTCTCTGGCCCTGGGATGGGGACACAGAGGATGGTCCCCACCACCCTAAGGGTACCCAGAGGGTCACCCCAACTTTCAGCAGCCCTGAACTACTACATTGCTCTCAGTCCAAGAGATTCCCTTGGGGAGAGGGTATTTTTTCTCCCTTCCTAAACTTTTCCAGGCTTTTATTAAATCTACATAAATTGACCTAATTCAGCCCCAGGGTGGCTCTGGGGTTGAAGGGCACCCTAAAATGCCACTGTCACTCTGCTTTGGCCAGGGGAGGGAGAAGGGCTGTCCCTAGTGAAGGACAGGGGCAACCCCCTCTGGGGGACTGATCACTCCTGGGGCAGATGGCAGCCCCAGTCTATTGTTTCCAGCTCCGGATCATGGAACACGGACAAAAATAATTGGATCACAGCAAAAAAAAAAAAAAAAAAAAAAAATTCCTGGCCCAGATTAAAAGCAGCCGCAGGTCTGAGGAGGGGGGAAGAAAATGGGGGAGACGGGACGAGACGGACAACCCAGGGAGAGTATTTGGGGGTCCGCTGTCCCCAAGGTGGACATTTCCTGGTGTCAGTTCTCTTTCACAGGATACTTTGGCTACCGTGTGCTGGGCTGGGAATGGCACGTGGCTATTGAGATTGTCCCCTCCTGCTCCTTGTCACCATCCCCCAGCAGCACTCAGGGAGGGTTTGGGGACACCCCAATGTGTCTATGGGGTAGGGACCTGGGGATCATGATGGCGTGATACCAGCTGGGGTCCCCAAGGAGACCTTCGGGGACTGGCCGAGCCCTTGGGAGCAAAGCCCCCTCCCCGGGCCCCCAGGAGGTAGGCCAGTCCCTTCCCGCTATAGGAGACGCCTCACCCCCGGTGCCACCGGACCCCCGGCCCCAACCTGTCCCCTCCATCCCATAGGGAGCGGCCTCCACGTGCTCCGGGACTCCGTTTCATCGGTGTGTGCGGGGAATTTGGGGGTGGTCGTACGGTGGTAATGCTGTGTTACCGGTTGCGCCCCCCGCCCTCACCATTCCCGGTGTCGGTACCTCCTTGCAGACGTGTAGCTGCTCCCCGGTGCGTCCCGGTGATACGGTGACAGCCAGACACAACGCCAGCGGCATCCACTGGGCTCCGGTACCGGCCATAGCGGCGGCAACGGCGGCGGCAACGGCGGCGGCTCGGCCGGTGTGAGCACCGGCGCCGCGGCCCCGCCCCCGCCAACGGCCCGGCCTCCGCGCACCTGCCGCCACCTGCCCCTGCCCCCGGGAACGGCACCCGGCATCGCCCCCGGCAACGGGAATAGGCACCGCGAGAGGAACCCCCGGGAACGGCACTGTGCATCACCTCGGGAACGGGCACCGGGAACGCAACCCCTGGGAACGCCACGGGGCATCACCCCGGGGAACGGGAACGGACTATGGATCACGAATAGAAACCCCTGGAACGGCAGACAGTATTGCCTCCGGGAACGTTTGCCATAAGACCGGCACCGGGAATCGGCACAGAGAAGGGAATGGCACACCGCGCTTCGGTATCAGGAATAGAGACACGGGAATGAAATTCCCAGGAACGGCAAGCCCAAAATGATACCCGGGAATGGAACCGGGAACAGGACGCCGGGAACGGTATCCCGAGATTGGCGCCGGGCATTGACACTGGGAGCGTTATCCATGAAGAACGGCATCGCGAACCCATCATCCTTGGGAGTGGGAAACGGGACTGGGAATGTAATCCCCGGAATGCGTTCCCGGGAACGGCATCGGGAACTTATTCCTGGGAACGGAATTGGGAATGTTATTCCAGGAACAGCACCGGGACCGTCGCGGAGCATCACATCCCCGCCTCCCCGCCCCCCGGAACAGCCCCTCCTCCCGCCCTCCCGGGGCTAGGGGTGGACCGGAACATGGCGAGGGAGGGTCATGAGCCCCCCGGAGCCACCTCCACCCCACCGGGGATTGTGTCCCACTCGTGTGCCTCCCAGGCTGTTCTCACGGAGCTGGGCCCCACAGCACTGGGGACACATGTGGCTGCATATTCTGGACATGGAGGACACGAGGGACATAGGGGGTAGAGGGGATATAGGAACACGGGGGACACAGGAACATCAGGGACACTGGGTACAGAGCTGATACAGGGACATAGGACGAGGACACAGGACAAGGGGAATACAGGGAACATGGGAGAATGGGGGACAGGGGATATTGGCACATGAGGGATGGGGGGACATAGGAACACACCTGATATGGGGCTACAGAGGGACACTGGTACACAGGGAGCACATGGGAACACAGGGAGATGGGGGACATAAGGAGACGTGAAAGATATAGGGAATATGGGAACACGAAGAACATGGAGGACACAGCTGATATGGTGACAGGGAGACGGGGAACACGGGTATATGGGGGCCACAGTCACAAGAGAACATGGAGGACAGAGCTGCTAAGGTAACACAGAGGTCCCAACTTTGGTGGCACAGGGTCACTCTGTGGGTTGGGGGACACAGGTGACACTTGTCCATCTGTGGTGGTGTAGGGATGCCAGCAAGTACCATGGGCACACAGGGGCACAGCCACAGTAAGGGATCATGCCTGTCCCCATGGAAGCGTGGGGACAACCCCATGCCTACTATGCCACAGCTGGAGATAGTGGCATAGAGTGGCTATGCCTCACAGCATCTGGAGTGTCACCTTGGCAGATGAAGCCTGCCAGGTACCATTAAGCTGGTGACCCCTCTCAAGAGTGTCCCCCTCAGAGCCACCATCAGCAGCCACCACAGCTGCTTCTCCCAGTAATGCCAGAATCACTGCTGTTCCCTCATCACCACGGCCTTGTCACCACCACAGCCGTCCCCTTTTCTCCTCTGTGGCTGTCCTCTCATGCCTATCCTCTTGTCACCACTGTAGCCATCTCTTGGTCATCCACTCTACTGTCCCCTTGTCACGACCATGGCCACCCTCTTGCTACCACCACAGCTGTCCTGTGATCACCATGGCCATCCTCTCATTACCAGCACAACTGTACTTGTCTCCACTGTGGCTGTCCCGTGGTTAGCATCAGAGCTTTGTCAGCACCATGGCCATCCCCTAGTCATCACCGTGGCTTGGTTGTGGCTTGTGGTTGACCCCTTGTGGCCATCCTCTTGTCACCACCATGGCTACCCCCATCACCACACACTTCCAATGAAACAGAGGCCATGCTCGTGGTGTCACACAACGTATTGTATGAAGCTCACAGGTCTCATCAGAGTCCGCAGGACTAGTAAGGCCCATGCCCAGCTCACACACATGGCACGGTGCCAACACAGTCTATGTGTCCCACACAACGGCAAGGCCCGGTGAACGACTCCCAGCATGTCATGGAGCGTGCAGGGCCCCGCAAGGCTGGCAGAGACCCCTGCAAAGCCCGCACGGAGCTTGGTGCAGGGCCAACTTCCCGCCTCCCCACGTGGCCCGCGCTGGATGGGCCGGAATGAAGCCGGGGCGTTTCGTCTCCCGTCGCTGTCGGGGCCGGGTCGGTGCCGACCCCGGGGCTGCAGACGTGGGCGCGGGTCAGAATCGCAGGGCGCTCATCGGCCGTGGCCTCGCCTATCTGATCGACTCATCCCGCCCGGCCCAGCCGCACAGCGCCCGAGGGCTTCGCGGCGCTTTCTTCTCACCTCGGCCCGGCGGGGCCCGGCCGATCGAATAAGATCAACGTGTAGGGAAGAGAGCGTGGCTGGCGCCTCACACACACACACCTGACTCACTCTCACGCAAACGCATACACAGCCACACTCACATACATACATACATACATACATACATACATGCTGCACGCATGCACGCACACGCACACAGCCACGCCACTATCACCGGTCACTTCCGGTCCTGTCCTTTATATAACGTAGCCGCGCTGAGCACGACGGGAATGTGGCGCAGTGCGGCAGGGCGCCCTCGACCGGCCCGGAAGACCGCGCTGCATCGCGTCTGCCGGCACACACACGGCACAGCGATGTGCGCGCAGGCGGAGCCGGGCACACTGACCTGCGGGAGGGCACAGCCCCTCGTGCCCCTCACTGAGGGGCTGCATCGCTCCCGGCCCCAGAGAGCTGGACGAACCGGGCCGGGAGGCTCCACCCAACAATTTCCCCCCGCACAGCTGCCCCCCAACTTTATTTGCACAAATCCTCCCCACCCCAAGACCCCCGTAACTATGGGAGCCCTCCACTCCATAGGAGCCAGCCCCCAAGGACCTCCTCACACACACCCAATGAGACTCTCAACCCATACCACAGGACCCTCTAAAACGCCACAGGAGGCCCCCCCAACCCCACAGGACCCCCAGGCCAGCACTGCCACAGAGGAACCCCCACTTTATTTGTATGTGGTGGTCCAGTATTTACAACCTGGGGGGGTCACCAACCCCCCACTGCAGAAGGAGACCCCCCCCTGAGGGGACCCCACGCTGCAGGAGCATAGGAAGATTCCATGGATGGGCAGGGCCCTGCCTGGCCCCTACAGCCTGCCATGGTCCCACTAGGATCCTGCTTGGTATCAAGAGAAGGGGCTCATAAGGTAGAGCTGGGTGCCCCAGTCCTGGGGTGCCCCAGTCCTGGGGGTCCCTTCACCCACTTCTCTAAAGAATTCACGAGAAATCCTTTTCCAACTGTCTAAAGGTGCCCTGTTGGCCCCTATAGTTGTCCTTGGTGGGTTCACGGAGGCCGATGGGCCATGATGGTCCCTGGGATGCCATATGCAGGATCCAGGTTGCTGCCAGGGGCAGGACCGGGGGTGGTTCAGGGTCAGTACCAGGGTCTCCGGTTGGTACTGGAACACTGGGATCAGTACCAGGGTCTCTGGTCCATACTAAGGTCTTTGGAATCAGTCACATCTCTAGTCAGTCCCAGAGTCTCTCTCACGTCACCAGCAGCTCCCTATGTGGTCACTTTCCCACAAGGACGTAGAAGGCCATGAGAAGACAGGACACGGACACAGCCACGTGCAGGCGGGTCCCAATCACAGCAGCTGCAGGTGGGACACGGTGAGGTGAGGCCCCGTGTCCCCATCCCAGACCCCATGTTCCCATCCCAAACCCCACTGTTCCCATTCCCAATAACTCTGTGTCCCCATCCCAGACCCAAAAACCCCCATCCCAGACTCAATGCCCCTGTCCCAGACTCGACCTTAGTGATCCCAGCATCCCATCCTGTACCCCAGTCTTCCAAGTGCTTCCATCCCAGTGTTCCCAGCAACCCCGTGTCATACCCCAGCGTCCCCAGTGCCCCTCACCCTTGTGGCAGACTCCCCAGACCCCCCTGCGCTCGGACAGGAGCCAGGTACGCAGTCGGGGCACCTTCCGCAGGTACGCACAAGTGCAAACCAGTAGCAGCCCGAACACCAGGAGCCCATCCAGGGAGTAAACTGCGGGGAGGGAGGTCGGGGAGGGGTCAGGGGGCGCTCCGGGCCCCTGCCCAACCCCCTTCCAAGAGGACCCCCACACTCCGTGTGAGCAACCTCCTATCTCTGCCCCTATGAGGGGATGCAGACTTCCCAGGATGTCCCTGAAAAGGAGCACGGACTTCCTAGTATCCCCACCGAAAGCACTCAGAACTCCCAGTATCCCGCCCCCAACGGACACTCTCCCAGTCGTCTACCAAAGGCTCCTCCCAGTACCTCCCCCACGTCAGCCCCGTCTTCCCCGCCACTCGCCGGTACCTGAGCGTTCCCCCCAGGGTGCCCCATTAGACCCCCGCCTTCGGAACCCCCAAAACTCCCGTTTCCCCCCCCTCCCCTCGTAGGTCTTTGAGGCCCCGGACCCGCCCGGACTCCCCGGTCCGTCCATTCCCTAGTTCCCACCACCAATCACGGCGGCCCCTGGACCCTCCCGTCCGCCCATAACCCCTCGTTCCCCTGTTCCCACCGTTGGTCATGGCGCCCCAGTTCTGCCCAGGCCCCCCATGGTACCCCCCGACCCCAAAACTCCCCGTTCCCACCGTTGGTCATGGCGCCCCCGGACCCTCCCGGGCCTCAGCGGCGCCAACGCGACAGCGGAAGCGGGCGACAGGCGTGGCCAGCCGAGCGCCGAGCCGCCCGACGCGGATCCTGAGGAGCAGGCGGCCTCAATCGAGCGCCTATCGGAGGCAGTGCGTGTGCAGCAGCAGTTTCGCCCAGTGCCCGCCCAGCCGCACCAGCAAACCCGAGAGCTAATAATGCTCGGTCCACCCAAGAGCTGCCTGAGCGCTCAGCCGTTTGTGACAAGTCCCCATCTGAGACCCCGATGACCCCTCAGTATTCCCAGTAACCCCCCCCACCCAGTCCTTCCAGTAACCCCCCAGTCCCCATTCCAGTCCTCCCAGTAACACACCAGTACTCCCAGTAATCCTCAGTCCTCCCAGTAAAGCCCCAATGCAACCAGACCCCAGTGACTCCCGGATTCCTCAGTAACTCACAATCTCCCCATAGCCTTCCAGTGCCCAGTCTCATCCCAGCCCCCAGGAAGCCCCAGTCTTCTCAGTACTTCCCCAGTGCAACCAGTCCCCATGGCAGTGACCCAGCAACCCACCAGTACTCCCACTAACCCTCAGTCCTCCCAGTAGCCCAATACCACCCAAGTGCAACCAGTCTTCATTCTAGCCCTCAGTGAGTTCCAGTCCTCCCAGTAACCCCCAGTGTAAACTGACCCCCAGGTTCCCCTGTAACTCCCAGTCTAGCCCTCTCCAAGCAACCAGTCTCCATCTAAGTTCTTCCAGTAACTGTCAGTCGTCCCCAGTAACCCCAGGTCCCCCAATAAACCCCAGTGACTCCAGTATCCCAGTCTTTCCCATTAACATCATGTGCCATCCAATCCCCATCCCACTATCCCCCATAAGCCTCCCAACTACCCCCAGTGCACCCAGTAACTCCTTGTACCTCATAACACCCAATGCATCCAGTCTCCAGCCCAATTTCTCCAGTATACTTTAGCCACAGTGACCCACATAATCCAGTGTTCCCAGTGCACCCAACACCAGTGTTTCCAGTGCTCACAGCAATCCCCAGGGCCCCCAGGGCTCTCAGTGCCCACCACTAGTCCCTGTGGTCCCTGTGTTTCCAGTGCCCCCAGCAGACTCCAGTGCCCCAAGTTGTGCCAATCTTCCCAGTGACCCCAGTACTCACAGTGTTCCAAGTACCTCCAGTGGCCCCAATGTTCTTACAGTGGTCCTGGTGCCCCCAGCAGTCCCCAGTGCTCCCAGGGTCCCCAGCAAACCTAAGGCTCTCAGTGTTCCCAGTGTCCCCAGTGCCCCCAGCAGTCCCAGTGCTCCCAGCAAACCCTGTGCTCCCAGTACCCCCAGTGTTCCCAATATCCTCAGTGTTCCCAGTGCCCTCAGTCAATCAGTGCTCCCCAAGTGAGTCTGGTGCTCCCAGTGTTCCCTGTGTCCCCAGCAGGCTCCAGTGCCTGTCCAGTGCCAGGTGTTCAGGCTGAGGACCCCTCGCCCTCCTTAGGTTCCAGAGCTAATGTGGAGAATATCCATTGTCCTCCTGCTCCCTTGCACCCAGCCGCCATGGCCAGCCACAGCTCCCAGTGGGAGGGACATTGGGGGTTGATTTGATCCTTACTAGTGACAGCATTGCCAGGGTGACAACAAAGCCTCAAGGAGCAGCACAGCTGTGGGTAGATGCTGGCAGTAGGGCATGGGGCTGCGGGACCCAGGGGAGTGGGGATGGGGCATGATGGATACCCCAAGGACAATGGGGATGCCAGGGGTGATGGAGACACAGGGACAATGGGGACCTGGATGCTTTGGGGACTAGGGAGTGGTGGGAATCCCAAGTGTGATGGGGATCTGGGGTCCTCAGGAGCAATGGGGAACACAGGGACAATGGGAATGCTGAAGGCAATAGAAGGACTAATGAGGACCTTGAGGGATAATTAACACCCCAGAGGCGATGGAGATCCCAGGGACAAGTGAAGGTTATAGGGACACTCAGTACAATAGGGGCACCTGGACTGATGGGGACCCGTGGTGTTTGGAACCCAAAAGGTGAAGGGGACACAGGGACAACAGGACACCAGGGGTGATGGGGACCTTGGAGTGAGGGAGACTCCGAGGACAATAGGGACCCTGAAGATGACAGGGATTCCAAGAAGTAATGGGACAATGAAGACTCCAGGGGACAATGGGGACCTGAGAGGTGATGGGCATCTAATGGGTGGTGGGTACCCCAGGCATAATGAGGACCCTAAGGGGTGATGGGAAGATATGGGGACCACAGGAAGGCCTGGGACAGGGACATTTGCACACAGGGACCCTGAGTGTGCCAGGGGCAGCATGTGGGGACTCTGGGCTGTGTCACCACAAGACCACAGGGACGGGGGGACACAGGGGCTGGTGTACAGGCTCTCACCCTATACTGGCATGTGGCTCCTCCCCATTTCCTGGTGACCCTGTCCCAGGTTGTCCCATCCCTTGTGGTGACCCCATCCCCAGTCACCCTTTCCCACAGGTGACTCCATGCTTCTGGTGACCCATCGTCTGGTGCTCGCATCCCTTGCTGATTCCCTACCCCTCCAGAAGGTGACAGGAGTGATTTTCTCTCCCGTGAAGGCAAGAGAAGTTGGCCCCTCATGGCCATAGGAGCATTAATTAGCCTAAGAAGGTGCCAAACCCAATATGGGAGTTCTGGAGCCACTGGGATCTGCACTGGGCAGTTCCCTTCAGCCATAGCAGGTGAGCATAGGAACAGGCCTGTCGCCAGCTGGGTGGGGTGTTCAGTTGAAGCCTGTCCATCCCCACAGGGGGATCCTGCCCTAGCACAGGGCCAAGCTCCTGCAGTTGCTGGACAGCTCCTCCTGCAGCTGCAGGGACCCCCATCTGACCTGCAGCAGCAGCTGAGGAAGTGCCACCAGACATTTGAGGAGATCTGTGATGTCCCTTTGTCCTTGTCTGTGTATCTCAGCCTTCATCTCTGCATCCAGGCCAGCTTCTCCTGCCTTCACTTTCACCATCATCCACCCATGTATCCACACATATGAGCATGCATGCATCCGTCCATCCATCCATCCATCCATCCATCCATCCATCCATCCATCCATCTATCCATCCTCCACACGTCCATCTAGCTATATCCTTTCCTGGGGACAGCCAAGTGCTGATCCGGCTGTTGGGGCAGTTGGGCTGAGTAAAATCCAGGGAACTTAAGGAGTGGCCAAAGGAAGCTGGACGGGATGGACATGGGTCAAGGGATGGCCAGAAGTGACCAGGTCATGGTGACAGCTGGAAGGAATACCTGTGTCAAGAGACAGCTGGGTCATGGGGAGGGCTGGGGGAATCCCAAGCATCCCATGGCTGCTCCTCCTGCAGCATGAGCAGGAGGTGGCTGGGCCAGAGCCGGACCCACGTCCTGAATTCCTGCAGATGCGGAAGAGCCTGTAGAAGGTGAAACTGGCAGAGGCAGGTGCCTGGCAGACATGAGCCAAAGCCAACCCAGCAGAGCTCCCTGAGCCCCCTGGCACACACTGGGCTGTCCCTGTCCCCAGCACATCCCAGCACTGGGAACAGTACCCAGTGCTACCATTCTGAGTGAGCTTGTGGTTGGGGGTGAGTACTGGAGCCTTGGTGTCCTCATGCCTGTGACAACCAGGGTGCCAGAGCTGGAAGGAGCTGGTAATGCCAAGACAATGCCAGGGATGATATGCGGGATGCAGGCAACACTCTCCCCGTGACCTGCATCTGCACCTGCTCCATGAACCAGAAAACAAAGTCTTTTATCTGGTTTTCTTGATGGAAATGGGACAGAGACAGGGATGGGGTGGATTTGCCTTGGGCAGATGGTGCATGGTGGGGATGGAGGGTGGTCATGGTGGCCACTGGCTCATTTTGCCAGTGATGCCACCAGCCCAGCCGCAGTTGGTATCCATCCAAGGCCTTCAGCCATCCCTTGGTGGCACAGAGCCTTCCTCACTCCTTCAGTCTCCTTCTCCTTTCTCCTCTGTCTTCTCCTGGTGGCTTTTTCCATTTCCACAGTTAAACGTGTTTCATCCCTGCCCTTTCCACTTGTAGCTGGAGTTCACCGGGAGGGAGGAAGAGATGCTGGTTTGAATAGGTCTTACATCAACAGCCCTAGGCTGACAGTACCACGTTGGGCACTAAGGTGGGGAACAGGCCATTGTTCTGGGGAATCTGCACCTGTCCCCCAGACTGCTTCCTGCACTCCTTGCCTGCTCCCTGCTTGCTCCCTTCAGCCCCCTGTCCGCACCCTGCCTGTTCCCTGTCTTCTCACCCCATCCTGTCTAGCCCCATCCCATGGGGATGAGCCTCTTCCCCACTCTGCCAGGTGTAGCAATGCAAGATATGTCCAACTCACTCCAATCCAGCTCAGAGGGGTCACAATGGCTGCGGCATTATCTTCTCACGTCCTGGGAGAGCCTTGGCACCATCCTGGCACAATGGTGGCATCATCCTGGCTCTGTCCTGGCACCGTCCTGGCACTGTCCTAGCACAGTCCTGCCACTGTCCTGCTGTGCATGGCCAGGGCAAGGATGGGGACAGTGGTCCTTGTGCTTGGCCCATGGCTATATGGCACTAGGAATGGAGCCTCCAGCAAACACAAGTCTAGGCTGTGCTGGGCTGCGGTGCCACACCACCCCAAACTGCACCACCCCCGCTGTAATGTGCCCGGCTGTGACACGTCTATACCGTCCCATGCCATTCCATGCCATATCACACAGTTCCATCCCACACCACGCACTTTCACGCCGCGCCATGCCACATCGTTCCAGGCTGAACCACACCATACTATGCCATACCATGTCAACACAAAGCGTAACATGGTAAAACATCCCATACCATGCTACCATGCCATATCATGCCATGCCATGTCACAGTGAACCATGCCACAGTGTGCATTCCCATGTCACTCACTCCATACCATACAGCGCCATGCCGTGCCGTGCAGTGTCATTCCTTTCTATGCAGTGCCGTGCGAGGCAGCCGCTGGGGGCCGTCCAGCGGGGCGGAGCGGGAACTGGGGCAGGTGTTGCTCACCCTGCTCCTCCCTCCGCTCAAGCCCAGACCCGTTCGTACCTCGGCGCACCAGAGCCGGCAGCGTCGGCGGGCTCAGGTAAGGGATTCTCGCACCCCGCCAGAACCCCCGGGACCTCCGCCCTGCCTCTGGCAGCCAAGCGCGACGTGAAGCGGGTGGGGAAACTGAGGCACGGCCGGGTGACGGCGCTGGAAAAGCGGCGTGAACCCCCTGCCCCCGGCCCACTGCCCCCCTTTCACTCGCTCCCCAAGAATTTGGGAGTCTTGGGGTGCTGGGGACCCCCTTTTCCCAGGCCTGCGGTCGCTCCGACCCCAGGATCTGCCGCCCGCCCAGACGGAAAAGAAGGGAAAACTGGGAGAAGTGCCCAGCGAAACCAGCTGGGGCGGAAGCGAGGGGCCGCCCGGTCCCTCCCGCCCCACTGCACCCCGACCACCTTTGACCCCTTCAAGGGTGTCACCCTTCCCCCGCCTCGCGCTGTCCGCACCCTTTATTTATGGTAGGAACTACAAGAAGGCAAAGCTAACATAGCCTCGCCTGCCCTCCGCCCTCATCGCGGCACGCCCGGGGTAACTTGAGAGATTTTGGGGGTGCAGGGTGGTTGGCTCCCATGGGTGCAGACTGGCTGGGGGCGTGGGGACGAGCTGTGTCCCCGCTGTTGCCCGCAGGGTCCCGGCTCGGCATGGGCGAGGCAAGTGACATGGACAGCGGGATCATGCTACACTCGGGTGAGAAGGGGGTTTGGGGGTGAGGGAGGTTTTGGGGTGCCCCTGTCGCCCATGGGTGCGCTGATGGGCGTGCCCCTCCTTCCCAGGCAGAGAACAGAGCACTTCAGTGCGTCCGGACACGCTGGGGACACATGAACTGCCTGGAGAAAGCTTTGGGGAAATGAAGGGGTGGAGGAATGGAGGCTTCCCCTGCGTTTGGGGAGGCACCCCAAGTGTAGTGGGGGGTGCTCTGGACAGGATTTGACTCAGACGTGTTTGGCTTGGGATGGCTGAGTCAGACTGAAACCTTTCTCCTGTGTCCCCCCCCCGCACCCCCCAGTAGGGACGTCACACATGTCCCGAGGGTGTTGAAGCACCCATGGTGCTGCTGGAGGAATTTCATGCTTACCCTGGGGGATTGGAGGACCCATGGCTGCTGTTGGGGGAGGGGTTCCTGGATACCCTGGAGGTATTGGAACAACAACGGGTGCTGCTGGGTGGGGAAAACAGGTGTTCCAGGGGAGTCAGTACACCCACGGATGCTGCTGGGGGGAAGGGAGGCACAGCTGCTTTGGGGAGCCTGGAGTACCCCTGGGTGCTGCTGGGAGGGTCATGGCTGCTTTTTCCTCCCCTTGCGGTGGAGGGAAACTAAGGCAGGGAGGCTGTGGGGTGGCAGGGGGTGGTACCTGGGTGTTCCCATCCCTCCAGAGGTCCATGTGTCTGTTCCAGGCCCTGACAGCCCGGTGTCCCCACCAAAGGAGCGGGTGCAGGCGGGGCGGCGGCAGCAGCAGGTGCTGGAGGCCCGGCTCGATAGCTGCATCCAGGAGCTGCGGCGGCTGTGCCTGCGAGAGGCGGTGAGTGGAGCACGAGGACCCCCTGCTCACCCTCACATGATGCCATGGCTCTGCTCACTGTCCCTGTGCTGTCCTCAGGAGCTCACGGGGACCCTACCCTGTGAGTACCCCCTGAAAGCTGGCGAGAAGCCCCCCAAAGTCTATCGCAGGATCGGGGCTGCCTTCAAGCTGGATGAGATCATCGTTCTTCATGGGGTGGTGAGGCAGTCCCTGGGGTGCAAAGATGGTGGGAACCCATGCCATGCCATCCCATCCACTTCCCTCCCCTGTGGAAGCTGCCTGAGGGTCACCTGGAAATGTTGCTATCCTCATCCCATGGGTGGTAGTTGGGTGCCAGGTGCTGTAGGAGGGTCAGGGGGGTGCTTTCAAGCATGATGGATGGATGGTGTTGGGGTGCTGAGATGTGCCAGTGAAGGGAGGTCTTTGGGTTCTGAATGCCATGTTTGGTGTTGGGGTGCCCAGGAGATGGGACAAGGTAGGGTTCCAGGCATTACGGGTATTGTTGGGGTGTTGAGTTAAAGAGGTTATCATGGGGTCCTACACATAATGTATGGTGTTGGGGTGCCAGTATGATGAGTGTGGGGAATCCCAGGTATATCGGGTTGCCAGAATTATGGGAGGAGGTGGGTTTCAAATGTTATGGGTAGTGGTGGGGTCCTGAACATGATGGGTGGGTGTTGAATTCTAAGAGTGGTGCTGGGTGTTGGGGTCCCAGATGAGATGCTGGGAGGGATTGGGTTCCCAAATGCTGTGGGTGATGTTGGGTTGTTAAGCACGATGAGGGGCTTGAGGGTGTCAGCGTTTTTCTGAGCGTGTTCCCTGCCCCCAGGACCCTCTGGAACGGGAGCGAGCATTGCAGCTGCGGATTGCCGAGGCCTCCCGCCGGCTCTGCCACGAGGAGAACATTGGCCGGCAGGTGCGGAAGAGACGGCAGACGGCGGCGCTCCGCGAGGAGCAGAAGCTGCGGGACCTGGAGCAGGTCCTGAGCCAGCGGCGGCTCCTGGCAGGGCAGCGGGACACCAGTACTGCCGAGGGTGAGCTCCCCAAGCTCCTCAGATGGTGGGGGGACGCTGGAGAGCAGGGAGGCAGAATGGGGCGTTGCTTGGTTTGGTGTCCGTGGGGAATGCACCTGAATTCCACATTCCCTGTGAATGCACCCCACTGGTCGTAGCCCAGTCCTTCATCTGAAGTGCATGCACCCCTCTGGATGCACCCCAGTATGCCATCCACAATGCCTGCACCCCAGTTCCCATCCCTGGTGAATGCACCTCCCTGGATGCACCCCAATTTTGCATTCCTGGTGAATACATCCCCTGGATGCACCTCAGCTTTCCATCCCCTGTGAATACAACCCAGTTCTACACCCCCAATGGATGCACCCCCCCCCCAAAATGCCCTCCAACATACCATCCCTAGTGTATGCACCCCAATTCCCTGAATATTCCTGAATATACCCCTTGGATGCCCCCTGGAAGGCCTGGTACATGCACCTCGATATGCTTTCACTGTCAATTCACCCTTTTGAAGGTAGCCCAGTATTTCATCTTTGATGGTTATATCCTTGTGAGTGCACCCCAAAACTTTGTCCCCAGTGCATGTTCCCCAACACACCACCTCTTGTGTATGTATCCCCTTGAACACACCCCAAAACTTCATCCATGGTGCATGAACCCCGATAAACCATCCCCAGTGGTACCCCACTGAATCCACTCCAGTACTTCACCTCCATTGATTGCACCCCCTTGAATGTACCCCAATACTTCACCCTTGCCACTTGCACCCCATTAACTATCTCCAATCACCCATCCTTAGCACCCGCAAACAAAGGGGGGCAGGACATGGCCCAGCTGCCATGTCCCCATCCCAGGGGGGGTCCAAATTCTCTTCTTTCCTCCGTCCCTGTCCTCTCCAAGGACCAGGACCATGGTGAGGGCGTCTCTTTCCCTGTTGGTGCCCCCAGCCTGCCCATCCTGGGCAGGCTGGGAGCTGCACGCGGCTCGGTAGAGCCGGCCTGGCCGGTACCGCTGCCGTCCCGGAGCGTGTTGGGACAGGTGGCGTGGGAGAGGGGAGCGGAAGCCCGAGGGGACGCGCTGGGTGGTGGCGGGGCTGTGGGAGCGCTTTGGCACCTGGAGGCGGCCCTGGCTCTGTTCTCGCAGGGCCCTGCCCCACAGAGCTCAGTGCCTCTGATGAGAGCTCCGTGTCTGACACCAGCCTGTTGGACGAGGGTGAGGGGGCTGTGGGGACTAGGGGGGACCCCTGGTATGTTCCCTCCATTCCAGCCCTTCCTGTGTCCCCTCTATCCCTACTCTCCCTGTGTCCCCTCCATCCCATTCCACTTCCATGTGTCCCCTCCATGCCATTTCCCTGTGTGTCCCTTCCTTTCCAAGCCCCCAGATCTCCCTTCCTTGCCAGCCGTCAATCTGTCCCCTCCATCCCAACTCACTCTTCCTGTCCCCTCCATCCCAACCCTCCATCTCTCTTGCAGAGAACACACGACCACCAGGACGTGCCACCCCACGGAGGTCCCCATCTCCCAAGGACTCCACCAAGGAGGAGGAGAAGGAGTCAGGACTTCTGAAATCCCCCGCCAATCCCTGGCAGGAGACCAGCCTGGACAGACCCCATGAGAGGGCCAAAAATCCCAGCATTGACCCTGAGGATGGGGAAACCCAGAGCTCCCAATGCTGTCTTGGATCCCTAATGGCTGCCCCTGCCAGCTCCTTGGCCCCCAGCAGCCCTGAATCGGCAGGCTCCCCAGTGTCCAGGACAGGGGACCTCCCGTACCGGTTCATCCCCATCCGGACCCTGGTGCTGTGCCGTCAAGCGAGTTCCAGTGCTCCCAGCACCCCAGAGCCATCGGGACAGCAGGGACAGACCCAGCCTCTGAGGTACGTCCTGAGCATGGGGAGGATAGACAAAGGCTTCCACAAGGGAGTATGGAGGTAATCCCATGTGGAGGATGGAGCTCAATCCACAGGAAGGAGGATGGGAATAACTTTGTGAAGATGATGGAGCTGAGTTCATGGGGAGGATGTTGGAAATAATCCCATAGTAAAGATGGAGATAGTTCCATTGGCAGTAAGATGGAGCTAACCCTGTGGGAAGGAGGATGGGAGTAATCCTGTGGGAGAGGATGAAGAGAACCTCATGGAGATGATGGAGCTAAACCCATGAGCAGGAGGATGGAGATAATCCCATGGAGAAGATAATGGAGAGAACACTAAGGGAAGTGTGGATTTAACTCTATGGGGAGTATGGAGAAAATCTTATGGGGAGGACAGACATAGTCCCATTGGGAGGGGATGGAACTAACCCCATGGAGATGGTGGAGTTCAGTCATTGGGAGGATGGAGACAATATTATGGGGAGGATGGAGATAATCCCAGAGACAGGATGAAGATAATCCTATGGGGATATGGGAGAAAACCCTGTTGGGAGGATGGACAGAAATCCATTGGGAGGAGGTTGGAAATAATCTCATGGAGAGGATGGAAGTAACGCTATGGAGATGATGGAGGTCAGCCCTTCTTCCAGGGAAGCTGGAGCTAATCCCATGGGAAGAGGCTAGTCTCCCCACGAGGCGGCTACACCCCACACCCATGGGTGCACCTTTCCCAGTGGTTGCCCTGGCTTTGGGATGAGGGGAAGGGTCCTCCTTCAGCCCCAATGTCTTGCCTGCAGGGCGGACCCATGCTGGCAGCCAGCTGAGCCACGGGGCCGCAGCACCGCACCCCGCCGGCGCCCCACCTACTACACAGTCACTGTGCCCACCTCCTGCATCCCGACCCGCAGCCCTGCATGCCGCTCCGGCTCCGATGACAGCATCTCCGACCTCTCCAGCATCTCCCACGCCACCTCCCCAGGCAGCAGCAGCCCTGACATGTCCTTTACAGTTCCGCTGTCTCTTGCTGAGCCTGGGTACTACCCCCGAGGTGCCTTCCAGCTCCTGCCGCCTGCTGGCCCGCTGACTTTCCTGTACGAGCAGGATCTGGCCCCACTGCGATACCAACGCCTGGTGCCCTCCCGCAGCCGCATTGTGCGCACACCCTCGCTCAAAGACTACGCACCCACTGGGGCCCGGGGGCTCTCCAAGGCCACCGTCACAGAGGAGCTCAAGTCATGGCACCAACGTGCCCGGCTGAGGGGTGCCCGGCCCCACTCCCTCGACCGGCAAGGGGCTTTCCAGAGAACCCATGGTGGGACCACCAGGGATGTGCCCATTGCTCATGGAGTCCTATCACTGGTTCAGGTAGGACACGGGGTCTCGCTGGGAGTGGTCATGTGGGAGAAGGGGGACCCCCTGGGTGCCATCCTGCAGGTGACATGAGTTATTACTCTGAGGTAGTGTAAGGACTCGTGGTTCTGGTGGAGTCCCATGAGGATTTCTAGAGCAGGACCTGAGGGGGTCCATGGGGTCTTATGAGGGTTGTTGGGGCAGGACTGGGATCCCAGAAAGGACCCTGGGGCATGACCAGGAGGGTCCTGAGGAGAGGATCAAGGTCCTTTTAAGATCCTTTGGGGTAGGATCTGGACCCTCTGAGCAGGTCCAAGGTCCCATAAGTTGAGTCTGGAGGGTCTCTGATGGTCCCTGGGGCAAGACCAGGATCCTGAGTGGGTCCCTGTGGGAAGATGAGGATCCTGAGGGAATCACAGGGGAAGAATTTGGGTCCCAGAGGAGTCCCTGGGGCAGGACTGGGTTATTGAGGAGGTTCAACGGCCAGGACCAGGGTCTTCTGTTCTTGGGAACAGAAGTAAGATCTTTAAAGTCCTTCAGGGCAGGATGAGGACCTGCTGAGGGTCCCATGGGCAGGTTTAGAGTCCCACGTGGGTCCCAGGGGCAGAACCAGAAGCCTCTGGAGCAGGACTGGGGTTCCATGTAGGCCTCTACTTTCTCTTGAAAGTAGGCAAGACCAAGGGCAAGACCAGGCCCCTCGGGGGTTCCTGTGACAGAACTAGGGTCCCACGGGAAAGACCAGAACTTTAAGGGGGTTACTGAGGCAAGACTCAGGTCCCACAAGAGTCCCATGGGAAAGACCACGACTTCAGGGATCCATGTGGGTCCCTGGGGCAGCACTGGGGTAGCCTTGAGTGGGGAAGGATCCCTGCAGACACTTCAGTGGCCAGCTTTCCCTCTCCACCTGGGCATCTCTCTGGGACAAATGCACCCATGGCTCAGCTGGGACACATGCTGGGCAAGTGGGGACCTGTGGCCATGCCCCCACAACTCCCCCAGCCCAAACCCAGGTGCTGAGATGTGCCCCCCCAAACAAGGTGGGGTGCTAACACCCACAGCATCTTTGTCCCCGCAGGGTCCCCCGGTGCAGGTGCTGCAACGCTCAGCAGCTGGCGTGCCTGTGCAGGTCTATATGCCTGAGAACGGCGAGGTTGTCACACAAGTGTGAGTGCCCACACCTCCAGCCCCGGGGCGGGGGCACATCCTGGCTGGCCCAGGGGCGGCGGGGACGTCTCATGCCTGTCCATCTCGGCGTGGGGGCACGGGAGGGACCCACAGCGGGGTGGCAGGGGCTGGCCCCCACCCTGGATTCCCTCACTGGCAATGCTGACAGGGAAACTGTGACCCCAGTACTTATGGTGACCTTGTCACCACGACCCTGAATTTGAGGTTCTGGTCTCTAATAAAGGTGGTTTTTGGGATATGTCACTCTCAGGATGTGTCACCTCCATGTCCCCTATGAGGTCCCCCATCCCTGGGTCCGGCTGGTATTATCAGGATGGGACTTCGCAGAATTGGGGTCTGGCTGTGCTTGGGGCAGTAATGGGGTGATCCTAGTGCCAAGAGGGTGCCCCAGATCCAGCTGTGCACCCCTGGCACCCAGTGACCCAGGCTGGGAAAGGGGCAAGGATTAGAAGGGAAGAATGGAATGGAGGTGCGGAGTGCAGGGTTGAGGTGCAGGAGGGTGCAAGGTGCAGGGGAGGGGTGCAAGGATGGGTGAAGGGATGGGGTGCAGGGGGAGGGAAATAAGGTGTTCAGGGAAAGGATGGGGTTGGAGAAAGGGTGCTGTGAACCAAAGTGATGGAGTCCAGGGAAGGGATGGGGTGCAGGGCAGGCAAACAAGGAGTACAGGGGTGGGTGAGGTGGGAGAAGAGGTGCTGGGAGGGGAAATTATGGGGAGCAGGGGGTAAGGAAGGGATTAGATGTAGGGGATGAGGTGTGGGGGAGGTGCAGGGAGTGGTGCAAGGACGAGCGAAAGGATGGGGTGCAGGAAGAGGGGAAATAAGGGTTGCGGGGGGGTGGGTACAGTGGTAGAGGGGGGCAGTGCCAGAGAAGCCACTCCGGTCGCCGCATCCCTGCCCGACCCAGCCAGTACCCGGGGCCGGCGGCGCTGCTCCTCCCGGTGGGGGCGGGCGGGGACCGGTGGCTGCGGCGGGAGGCGGCGCTGGGGGGACGGGAGGGGGGGGGAAACCGGGCAGCAACCGAGCGCCGCCGGTCTGCGGCGTCACTGCGGGCCTGCGCCGGCCCCGCACCGGCGCCGGGAGACACCGGCAGAACGAGCGGCCCCGCGACACCGGCACCGGACGGCACCAGGAGCGGCCACGGGAGCGGCCCCGGTCCCGGTGCCGCCTGTCCCGGGCAGCGCTGAGCGGGGACACCGGGCCCGGTCCCGGGATGGGGCCCGGCGGCCCCGGGAGCGGCTGGCCCCTGGCTGGGACCCTGCTGGTGGCCGTGGCCGCCTCGATGGGTAAGAGACATAACGGGGACCAGGGAGGGCCGTGGGATCCAGTGCCACCCTGCGACTGGACACGGTGCCACCAGTGCCACACGGGCATCCCGCTGGGTGGGACTTGGTACCACCAGCCGTACTGAGTCGTGTGCTACACATGGCCCCTTCGACCGGGGGTTTCTTGCAGCAGTGTCCCCCTGGGCATTGTGTCCATCCCCCCAAACCTCTCTCCCATTTGCCGCTTTCGGGGTGTTCCCGGTAGCCGCTGACCCCCGGGAACAGCAGGCACGGAGCTGGTGGCTAACCGAGCCGGGATGCCCAGCCCCGGGGAATCTGGGGGCTTCCCATGCACGATCCCCCTGTCTCAGTTTCCCCACTTGTCCCTGAGCTGCCGTGGTCTCATTTTGGGGTGTTGGAGACTCCCGCAAAACCCATTTCCGTGGCTCCCCTCCCGCTGCCCAGGAGCCTCCGGCCGCCCCCGGGCCTCGGCCCGCGGCTATTTCTGGGAAGACAGCTGGCTCCGGACAGAAATAGCGCGGGAAGTGTCACTGGAACACTCGGAAGGAGGGGAAGCTGGGGGGGATCTGGAGGGGTCGGAGAGCTGGGCGGGATGGAGGGGGTCTGGAAGGGTGTAGGGCTGGATGGAACAGGATATGGGGGTACATAGGGGCAGGGTTTGGAAGTGAGAGGGATTGAGCAGGATATGGGGGTACACAGGGGCAGGATGGAGCAGGGTTTTAAGGGATATGGGGCAGGATGGAGCAGAGCAGGGGTTTGGTGATACATAGGGGCACAGCCTGTCAGTCCATGGGGCAGGATGGAGCAGCGTATGGGGGATGTGGGGCTGGGTATGAAGGACAGGGGAATAGGAAGGAGCAGGGTATTTGGGGATGTATAGGGGCACACTTTGGGGGTCCATGGGGCAGGATGGACCGGCGTTCAAGGGAATAGAACATAGTGGGGTATAGGCTGTGCTCGTGTGGGGAATGAAGGGCATGGGGTGCAGCTGATGTCCCTGAGGGTGGTGATGGCCAGGTGCTCCAACGCCCTGGTGATGGGCGGCTGTCCACAGTGGCCGGGGGTGAAGACTGCCTGTGGTACGTGGACAGAAACGGGTCATGGCACCCTGGCTTCGACTGCGAGTTCTTCACCTTCTGCTGCGGCACGTGCCACCAGCGGTACTGCTGCCGAGACCCTCTGCGCCTGCTCACCGAGCGCCAGCAGCGCCACTGCCTTGCCTTCAGGTGCCACAGCCAGGGCTGATGGGGCTGGAGACTCTCCTGGGCGGCCTGGGTGCTGGGCACTAGTACTGGGTGCTGATCATTGTGTGCTATGCACTAGGCGGTGGTGCACTGGTGCTGGGCACTGGTATTAGGTTCTGGGCAGTGGTAGCTGGGCCCTTGTAGTGGGTATTGGGCATTGGGTACTGGATGCTGAATGCTCTGCACTGGTATTCGGTGCTGGGCACTGGTACTGAATGCTGGCCAGTGGTACTGGGGGTTGGATATTGGTACTGAGCAGTGGCACTGGGTGCTGGATGCTGTGCACTGGTACTTGGCGGGGGCACTGGGTGTTGAATGCAGGTGCTGTGCACTGGTTGTGGGGAGTGGTACTGGGCAGTGCTACTGGGTTGCCAGGCTGTTGGTTCTGGGTGCTGGGCACTAACACTGGGTGCTGGGCTCTGAGTGTTGGGCAGTGGTGCTGGGTGTTGAATACTGGTACTATTGGGCTCTGGGCACTGGTCCTGGGTATTGGTGCTTTGCAGTGGGTGCTGGGCACTGCTACTGAGTGCTGTGCACTGGGTACTGGTACTGGGTACTGGGCTCTGGGCATTGGTACTGGGTGCTAGTATTGGGTTTTGGGTGCTGGACACTGGTACTGGGCACTGGATGCTGTGCACTGATACTGGGCACTGCACATTGTGGGGTGGATGCTGTGGATTGGTCACTGGTACTGGGTGTTGTCACTGGGTGCTGGATGCTAGTACTGAAAACTTGTGCTGGGTGCTGGGCAGTGCTGGGCACTGGTTACTGCTACTGATTGCTGTTGACTGGCCAGTGGGCACTGGTACAGGGCATTGGCACCGGGTACTGGGCACTGCTATGGTGTGGGCAATGCTACTGGGTGCTGGGCAGTGTTTACTGGTACTGGGTGCTGATAGTGCTGGGCAGTGTCACTGGGAATTGGTTCTGGGCACTGGGCAGTGTCACTGGGTGCTGGGCAGTGGTACTGGACGTTGTCACTGGGTGCTGGGCATGGGGCAGTGGGCAGTATCAGTGGGTGCTGGCAGGGGGTGTGTGCCCCGGTGCCCTCCAGGCCCTTCTTCCACACCTGGGGGTCCCACAGCCCTAAGACCATCGCGGGCATCGCCTCAGCCGTGGTGCTTTTCATCGCCATCGTCACCACCATCGTCTGCTGCTTCATGTGCTCCTGCTGCTACTTGTACCAGCGCCGGCAGCACTCCCGCACCCCCCTGCAAGGTGCGGGGTTGGGGGGCGGGGATGGGAGGAAGAGGAGGGGGTGCAGAAAGGTCCTGTAGCAAAAGAGGGTGGAGCGGGGTTGAGGGGGCCTAGAGGAATTCAGGGGGAATGGGGGTCTGGTGGGAGTGTGTAGGGATGGGGGATGCAGGGATAGGGGTGAGCAGGAGGAGGGAGTCAAGAGGATCCTGCAGGTAAGGAGGTGCAAGGTTAAGATGACACTGGGGGAGTGGGAGGGTGCATGAACAGGGGATGCATGGATGGGGGATGCACGGGTGGGGGTGCAAGAGGAGGCTTGGTACATGACAGTGCTGTAGGTGCAGGGTGGGGGATTGGGGGAGCCTGGATGGAGGCCTCCTGAATGGAGGAATTGGTGTGTGTGTGGGTGGGCTATAGGGGATGGGACGTGCAGGAGGGTCCTGTAGGTAGAGAGTGGAGGGGTTTGGGAAGAGACTTGGAGGGGGGGGCCTGGAGGAATGCAGGGGGGGATTGGCGTGTGGGGGTTGGGCAGCAGGGATGGGGGGCTGCAGGAGGATTCCTGAGGCAGAGAATGGTGGGATTTTGAGGGGGCCTCAAGGAATGTCGGGAGGTCTGGAGGTGGAAAGGGGGAAGCTGCAGGGATGGGAGTTTGCAGGATCATGCAGGTACAGGGTGAAGGGGTCTGGGGTGGGCTGGAGACGTGCAGGGGTGTTGAGGTGCAATGGGAAGCTGAAGGGATGAGAGGGAGCACAAGAGTCCTGTAGGAGTGGGTGGGGGGTAGTGGGGGAGGCAAGGAGATGGGGGGGCTGTTGGAATGCAGGGGGGAATCAGGAGGGTGGGGGGTTGGACTGCAGGGATGGAGGTGTAGGAGGAGGGGTAGGGTGCAGGGATGGGGCAGCAGGAGAGGTCCTGAGGTACAGGGTGGAGGGGTTGTGGGTGAGGTGGTGGGACCTGAAGGGATGCAGAAGGAAAATTGGGCACTGGGCTGTGGATAATACCCCGGCGCCCACCCTGAGGGCCACTGCCACCCTTAGGCAGTGTCCCTGTCTCTCTTGCGGGGTGCTGCAGATCTCCCCAATCTCTCCTGCAGGCCCGGAAATCCCCCTGTCCAGCTATCCCCCTGCAGCTCCTCCAGCTCCCGTCCCCGTGGACCCCAAAGCCGGCCCTACGCCTCCCCAGCCTGGCTTCACCCCCATGGCCATGTACCCCCCGCCCGGCCCCGCCGCCCAGTACCCCATGTACCCCTCCGGCCCCCCTGTCTACTACCCCACAGGTGAGCACCAAGGGGGAACGGGGACCCTCCCTATTTCCCGGGGGGCCTGGTGACACTCCATCTGCTCTCCCCGCAGCACCACCACCACCCTACGTCCCGGCACAGCCCAGCTACCCTGGAGCATAAGCCCCCGCGGGGACCCCTGCACCCGCCGCCGGCCAGCGGGACCAGGCTGGGGACCCCAGGAAACCCCCCTGGCGCTGGGGGGCTGCCCCAGCCGGCGCTGGATCCGGCTCTTCCCAGCCACCCTGGGGTGATCCGGTGCCAGCAGAACAGGGCAGCCCTTGTGCTGCACACTGGGCCCTTTGTGGGTGCCTTCTCCCCTAGCTCTGGGTGCCAGTGGCCCCGAGCACTCGCGGGGGGGTCCCCGGAGGAGGGAGGGGGGGGGGTCCCCCGAGGGCTGTGCACCTCTGTCTCCCTGCACACCCACCCCGGATTCACCCCGGCTCTTCTTTCCCCCGGGGTTGGCATTAAACCACGTCTTGTGCCCATAGCCTGGTGTTGTATCGGTGACTCTAATGGGCAAAGAAGGGAAGGGCAATGCCCTCAACCCCTTCTCGCGAACTGTAAAATGGGGGGAACATAAATTCCTTTCCCTTCTGCTCTCGAGACTTCTCCATCTCAAAATTGTGTTGGGATAGGTAATTCCCACCAAATCAGCCGCTTGGATGAGCCAGCCTGGAGTGCTGCCGCCCACCTAGCCCCTCTCACTCAAAACGGGGATGTGAAACCACCCCTGGAATCTTTCGGGTGAGAAAACAGCAAATTCAGCGCCGGGATTGGGACTGTGGGTGCATGAACAATTCCTCTATCCACGTCCCCTCCCCTGGACAGGAATAAGCTGGGAAGGGTGGGTGGGTGGTGTGTCACCCTGATGGTTGTTCCTGGTGGGATTCATTCCCCTCAGAATCGCTAGCTAAATTTGGGACCAGAGTCCATCAGTCCAGGAGAGTAGAGCCAAAGAGCTTCCTGAAAGGACAAAGCCCTGTCCCATCTCCCAGGCCCTTGCATTCCATCATCCCCAAAAACCCTGTGAGGCGCCCGGGGTGGGGGGAGCCGTGGGGGTGCAGCTCTGAGTTTTATTGAAGTGGGATGGAGAGGAAAAGAAATAATAATTAAAAAAAAATAAAAAAAGCGAGGTGGGTTCTGGAGGGAGGGGTAAGGGTGTGTGTACACAGCCAGCTGCGTGGGAGGCTCAGGATTTGGGGACCCCCCGCTCCCGGAGGTAGAGGTCACGGATTTCGGCCAGGCTGCGACTGAGCACGCCCAGTGCCTGAGCGATGCCGCGCAACACAGCCGTGGTTTCCCGACGGCTCTCGGCGTATTCCCGGCGGAACGCCCGCATTTCCTGCACCAGCCGCTCATTGGACTGCACGAGGCTGAGCTGGGGGCACTCGGGGGTCCCGTCCAGCCCCGCCGGCCCGGGGGGCCCCGCTTCTCCCGAGCCGCAGTGACTGAGCTGCTCAGCCTCCTGCTCCAACAGCAGACTCGGAAAGTCGGAGCCCAGCGGCTCCTGCTGCCCGCCTAGATCGCCGAGGGAGAGTTCAGAGGGTGTGGGGCGCGGGGGGCTCCGGCTCCAACCCTCGCACAGCTCGCTGGGCGGGCAGATGCCGGTGCGGGGCAGCCGGCCGGGAATGCCGTCAGCAGCGGCACCGTGGAAGGGCTCAGTCTTCACCTCCACAGGCTCCTCCTTCACCGGCTCCTCCTTGACACCTGTGGGAGGGACGGGGGGCACAGGGCAGCTGCAGGGCTCTCCCGTGTCCCTACTGCCCCATGGACCAAGTGACAGACGCTCTTATCTCCATTCCTGTGCTCCCACATCCCCTCTCCTGCACCCAGTCGAGGTTCCATCTATATAATCATCTCCATAGTCCCATATCCTTCATGATGGCTGAACCCCACGCCGTGTCCCTTGTCCCTCTCCTGCTCCCAGTACTCCCATACTCCTGCCCTAAATATGGTGTCCCCATGTGCCTGCATAGTCCTGGTACCCCTACATCCCTGTCCTAGTCCAAACATATCCCTATATTGAATATGGTGCCTCTACGTCCCTGTTTGGTCCTAGTACCACCATGTCCCAGTTCTCACCCCACTAACCCCCATGGCCCTGTTCTGGTCCCAGTACCGGCACGTTCCTTGTCTCCTTGGTCCTGCCCCATGTCACTGTCTTAATCCCATCTCATTTTTGCCCTATTCCCAGCCCTTTCTTATCCCTGTCCAGGTCCCAGTTCCCCCTGCCTTCTGCCCCTGTCCTAATCCCAGTCACCCATATCCTTGTCCTGATCCTGGTACCCTTCTGTCCTGGTCCAGGTGCCCCTGTCTCCTATGTCCCTGTCCTGGTCCTCCCACATCCGTGTCACCTGTGTCCCTGTCTCAATACTCCATGTTCGTATCCCTTTGCCCTGACTCTACATTCCCTCTGTCTGCCTGCCCCACTGTTCCTGCCCCAGTCCCACCATGCACCTGTAGTGGTCCCATTGTCCTGGCCCCAGTTTTTCCCACATCTTGGTCCCAGTCCCCTCACATCCCTGCTCTGTTTCCCTGGATCTGCATCCCAGTCTCTCCATGTATCTCTCCCAGGCCTAGTGATGCCTTAGGATGCCCCCATATCCCTCATGTCCCTGTCCCAATCCCAATCCCAATCCCAATCCCAATCCCAATCCCAATCCCAATCCCAATCCCAATCCTCCATGTCCCTGCCATTGTCCCCTGTATCCATGTCCTGGTCCCCCATGGCATGGTCCCAGTGTCCCTGTCCTGGCCTTAATCTCATGTGTCCCTCTCCTGGTCCCTCTACACACCTGTCCTGTTCCCAGTTTCTTGCTCCTTGTCCCCTGCTCTTGGTCCTGGTCTCCTGTGTCCCTGTCCCAGAACTATGTTTCTGTCCTGGTCCTCTGTGTCCTGGTTAATCCATGTCCCTGTACCTCTGTGTCCCTGTCCCACTTCCCCATGTCCCTATCCTAATGCCCTGTGTCCTGGTTCTCCAGGTGCTGATCCAGGTCCCCTGAGTCTCCATCCCCATCTCTCCATGCACCTGCCCTTGTGTCCTGGTCTGGCTGTGTCCCTTTCCTGATCCCCCACACTGTGGTCCTGGTCTCCTGTGTCCCTGCATGCATCTGCCCTGGTCCCAGCGACCTGTTTCAGTCTCATTTCTCTTACATGCCAGGCCCAGTCCCACATGTCTGTGTCCTGGACCCCTGTATCCTGGTCACAGTATCTCCATGTAACTGTCATGGTCTCCTGTGTCCTGATCCCCTCACTTCCTGGTCCTGGTTCCCTGTGTCCCTGTTCCTCCCATCCTCTCCCAGTCCCAGTGGCCTTGTGTCTGTGTCCTGGTTTCCCATGTCCATGTCCATGTCCATGTCCATGTCCATGTCCTGGTCCTTGTCTCTCTCGACCCTTTTCCTCCATGCATCTGTCCTGATCCCAGTGTCCCTATGTACCTGTCGCTTGCCCCCACTTCCTAAACCCATTTTTCCATGTCCCATTCTACCTCATCCGTGGCCCCTTTTTCATCCCCCATGTCTATCCCGGCCCCCAGCAAGTCTCTGCCCCGGTCTTCCATGTCTGTGTCCTGGTTCTTCATGTCCCTGTCCCACCATACACCTGTCCCAGTGCCTGTGTCTGTGGGCCGGTCCCCCCGCCTCCCGGTCCCAGCATCCCCGTGACCCTGCCCCGTTCTTCCCTGTCCTAGTCCCGGTCCCGGTCCCTTATGTCCGTGTCCTGGTCCTCCATGTCCGTCTCTCCACTCTTCTGTCTCGGCCCCAGCATACCCGTGTCCCTGCCCCGTCCCCCGGCTCTCCCCGCTCACTCACCGTGCTGTGCCGACCCCTGGGCGCTGCGCATCGGAGGCTCGGTTCCGGCGGCGCCGCGAGGACCCCAGACGGGGGCGGGCCCCGGGCCGGGCTCGGCCGTGCCGTTCCCGTTGCTCCCGTTATTGCCGGTGCTGCCGGTGTTCCCGTTCCTGGCGGAGGCCCTGCCGGCCGGGCCCTGCCGCTCCAGCCGGTGCCGGCTGATCTTGTCCCCGGCGCGGCGGCGTAGCCCTCGCCAGCGGTTCTTCACCTCGCCGATGTCGCGCTGGTGGCGGCCGGCGGCGTTCACCTTGTGCGTGATCCGCCACCAGATCTTCTGCTTCTCGTATGCGTTCACGGTACCGGCGGCGGCGCCGAAGAGCAGCGGCTCGTACCGGAGCACTTCGCTCATCAGCACCTCCAGCTCCTGCAACGTGAAGTTTGGCTTCCGCTTCAGCAGTCCCCGCCGCGCCCCGCCGCCGCCCGCCGCCGCCATGCTCCCCGCCGCCGCCGCCTCATGCCGCCGCCCAGCCGTCCATCGCCGCCGCCGTGTGCCCCGCGCCGGTTCCCCGGTACCGAGCGGGGGAAGCAGAGCCGAACACACCCGATAGCTCCCGTCGGGCGCTGCCCCTACCGGGGCCGGGGCAGACCGGACGGGCCGGGGCTGCTCCCCGCCCCTACCGGCGCCGCTCCGCCCCCGGTGCGTTAACGGCGGCCCCGGTGGGTTAACGGCGCCCCCTGCCGGCCCCACCGCGCACAGCAGCGCCCCCGGTGGGTTACCGGCAGCCCCTGCCGGGCTCTGCCCGTTCCCCTCGGGAGCTGCACCGCCCCGCTCCGCCCCGGTCCCCTGGGTTTAGGTGACGCCGCCGGTGTTCGGGTGACGCCCCTGATGCTCTGACCCCGGGGCCGGCCGAATGCTCGGTGTGGGATGTCCCAATACCCCAGCCCCAGGCTGGGGTCCTGCGTTAGCAAGGGCCGCCCCAAGGGGCAGGAGTGCGGGGACAACGGGCGTGAGGACCCTCCGGTACCGATACCGCTCCTCCCGCTGGGGCCACGGCGCTGCGCGGCTGCCAAAGCGGCGTTTCACTGGTACTGGGAGCTGCCTCTCAGCCAGGCACGTGGGTATTTCAGGACAGGGGGAGCATCCCAGAGGACACCCGGGTGCTGGTGCACCCCCCAAAACGGCCTCGACCCCGAGGTGCCAGGGGACAGAGCAGTTCTGGATGACCCCGGGGGTTTGGGGTGACCCTGGGGCGACCCCGGGGGTTGAGGTGCCCAGTTTTGAAGTCACCTCAGGGTTTTAGGATGATCCTGAGACACCCTGTTCTGGATTACCTTGGGGTTCGGGGTGACCCTGGGGCAGCCCCAGGATGCCCAGTTCTGTGTGGACTCAAAGGGTTTGAGGTGACTGTGGGGTGGTCCTGGGGTGCCCATTTCTGGGTGACTCCAGAGTTTTGGGGTGCCTGCATGGTTCTGGGTGCCTGGTTGTCCATGTCCAGCAGCAGCATGGTGCCCCATCTGGGGGGGTTCTGGGTGGGTGAGTGACCACAGACACCTGTTTGGGGTGTCCAGGTGGTCCCAGGGTGCCCAGTTCGGGGTGGTCTGTGGGTGTGGGAGAGGGAAGAGCTGCCCCTGGCTGAGGTTGCTGAGTCCATTCCCTGCGCCCCAGTCTGGGGTCTGGGGGCCTGGAGCTGTCCGGAGGCACAGGAAGCGGTGGGTGAGCTTTATTGCTTATGCAGTGGCCGCAGTCATACAAATCGTGATCAAGGTGTCATGACAGGAAGGATGGGGGGAGGGAGAGCGGGCATCACATGACCCCAAAACCCACTGCCCTCCTTGAGTCGGTGCTTTCCCTACTCTCTCTGAGGCGGATTTGGTTTCCATGCTCTGAGAGTTCTGGGGGTCCCCCCGCAGTGCTATGGGCACGTACAAGTTGCCCTGAGCTCCTGGCCCCAGCCTGGCTCCCCATGTCCCACCATTTCCATGCCCCCTCTCTCCCTGGCTGCTCCCTTCTCTGACCCTTCCATTCCTCCCCGACTCTGCAGCCACTGCTGTGCCTGAATCCCAAAACTCTGCTGGCCACCCAGACACCTTGTGGTGATCTGATGATGGTCTGGGTGTCCCCTGCTCCCCTCCAAGAGAGGGGGTACTCCTGCTCACCCCAGGCTGGACCCTGGATAGAGGGTGCCAAACCCCTTCATTGTGCTCTGACGGGGAATTTCCAAAAGGATCAGCTCTGCAGACCCCTGCTCTATTCGTGGCATCTCCGGCGGGGCACGGTGCTGGTAGAAGAGTGAGCTCAAAGGCTTCACAACCATCAAAAAATAAATACAACATCCTCCATCATGTCCTGCTGGGCCTGGCCTGTCCTCCGTGTCCCAGAGAGATCCCTGCTCCTTTGTGTCGGTCACTGCAGGTTCCAAAGGGCTTGTCATGGAAACAGTCACGAGAAAGGTGAGTGTCTGGGGGTCTGCCATGGGCCGCAGGGGAAAAATCCTCCCGCTCCCTACTGCAGCAGCTTCGGCAACTGCACCTGGAGAGAAGGACACCTCATTAGTGGGAGAGCAATGGCAGGGGGTGCAGGAATATTCCTGACATGGTGCAGGGACATCCACATCCAGGATAGGGTTAGATGGGATACTGAGGAGAAATTACTCCCTGTGAAGGTGGGGAGGTCCTGGCACAGGTTGCCCAGAGAAGCTGTGGCTGCCTCATCCCTGGAAGTGTTCAAGGCCAGGTTGAATGGGGCTTGGAGCAACCTGGGCTAGTGGAAGGTGTCCCTGTCCATGACAAGACAGAGATAATCTCTAAGGTCTCTTCCAACCTAAAGCATTCAATGACCTCTTCCTCTTGGCCAGGCTGGCTGTCCCCCCACTCCTGCCCATGGACAGCACAGCAGGGACACAAACCACCTGTGTGCAAGATGTTTCACAGCTTCATGCTGGGACCAGCATTAGGCCCTTTTGTTCCAGCACAGTTATTACTGCATGGTGTACATACACAACAATCTGCTGCCCAAGGGTGAATATATGGTCCTCCTGTATTAGGAGGACAGTTGTTGCCACAGCTTTCAAGAACCCAGACCACCCTTGGCTAACACTGTCTAGCTGTTTTGAGAAGTAGGCCTCTGGTCTCCACTGGTCCCTAAGGTGCTGTGTCAGTACCCCCAGAGCAATATTCAGTTGCTCATATGTGAAGAGTTCAAAAGGCTTAGTCAAGTTTGGCAGCCCAAGAGCTGGGGCTGACATCAAGGAATCTAGGAAGGATTCAGTGGGCCACCTTCCACCCCAGGGGCATGGGCTCAGCCACAAGAAGAAGATATCAAGAGCCCAGTGAGTTGTAAGTTACAGATGGTTTCTTCCTTGTGTCCCAAGCCCCGGATCCTGGTGGATCTGCCCAACACAGGAGCTCTGCCAAGGCATGAATCTGCACCTGTCATGCTCTCTGCCAAGGGATGGATTCCTTTTGGATGTGCTGCCAAGGGACGGACCTGCTAACTCCATCTGCTCTGCAGGAATGGTATTAAAGGATGGACCTTCCTTCCCCATGTGCTTGGCAAAGGGATGGATCTGCCCCTCTGCAGGGGTTTGGGAACATGGACATCCCACTCCAGAGAAGGACACTGTCAGAATGACAATGGCTATGACCTCAGCCCCCAGCCCCACCCTGTGTATGGGCCCTGCACTTGCCTTCTTGAGCTGTTTGAGGTTGCTGGAGCGAATAGCTGCCAGAAGCTGGTCCCGAGAGTTCTTCTCCTGGACTGGCAGCGCCCGGTCTCCCAACTTCCTCTGTGTGGCTGGCGAGAGCGAGTTCTTCAGGTTCTCATTGATCATCAGTGGTGGGGCGAGCGGAGGAGGAGGTGGGGGTGGCACGGTGGGTGCCCCCCCTTTCTTGGGAGAGCTTTTGGGAGAAGCCTTGGGGGATGGCTGCGGGGATGCCTTGGGGGACCCCTTCGGCAGCGCTCCAGGCTTGGGCACCTCCAGGAGGTCTTTCTTCTCCCCTCGTTCCTGTGCCAGTTTCTGCTCCTGGAGGCGTTTCTGCCTCTGCCTGTCCATGTTTCGGCTCAGTAGGTTGGTGACAGTCATGCGTGGCCCAGCCAGCTCGAAGTGATAGCCCAGCTTCAGGAGCGTGGTATTCTCCTTCAAGAGCTTGGCAATTTCCATCTCTGTTTTTCCCCCACAGATGTGCCGTTGGTTGTGGAAACGTAGCTCTGTCAGCGTGTTGTTCTGCAACAGTGCCCTGAAAATGGCCAGGATACCCTTGCCTGTGATGTGGTTGGAGTCCAAGTTGATGCTTGTCAGCACCTTGTTGGACTTGAGCATTATGGCAATGGCGAAGGCCACATGGTCATCAGCGCGGGTGTTGGCCAGGGCAAACACCTTGACCACAGTGTTGAACTCCAGGGCCTCGGTGAAGCGCACCAGGGTCTCATTGTTGATGCAGTCGGAGTTGTTCACGTTGACCTCGGTCACCTCAGCGTCGTTGTTCTTCACCTTCTCGATGAGCTCGTCAAAGATGCTGGAGGCTTCATCGTCCTTGGCTTGATCTGCGGAGCTGCTGGAGGAAGGCTTGGAAGGGCTGCTCCCAGCTCCTGCCTTGGCCTCCTGTTTCTCCTCCGCCTTTTGTGTCTTTTCTGCTTCTGCCTGGGATTTATCCTTCTCATCTGCCTTGGATTTATTCACAACTGAAGCCTTTTCATCTTCTTTTTTATAATTTTCTTTCTTACCTTCCCCTCTTATGTCTTTTTCTGCCTGTTTCTTTGATTCTGAACTCTTCTCCTCCTTTATGTCCTTTCCTGTGTCCTTTGATGCTGAATCCTTTTCTTGCTTTTTTTCCTTCTCTGTCTCCTCTTTTGCTGCTGAGACCTTCTCTTCTTCCTTTTTATCCTTCCCTACATCCTTCTTTTTAAAAGATGAGCTGTTTTCTTCCTCCTTTTTATCCTTCCCTGCATCCTTCTTCAACTCTGAGCTCTTCTCTTCCTCCTTTTTGTCCTTCCCTTTGTCCTTCAACACTGAACCTTTCTCTTCCTCCTTCCTGTCCTTCCCCATCAGCTTTTTCTCCATGGCCTTGACTTTATCATTCATAGCTTTGTTCTCTTTGCTCTTGGTTTCAGTCTCAGCTTTACCTTTCGGTTCTGTTTTCTGAACCTTTTCTTCCTTTTTAGAGTCTTTCCCCACTTTAGTATCTCGTTTCTGGGCCAGGTCTTTAGAAGGAGATTCCTTTCCTTTTTCTTCTTGATTTTTGTCTCCCTTATTCTTGCTCAACCTGCTTTCCTAGTGAGAGAAAAACACCTGGGAATTACAGAAACAGGTGCCTCTGACCTACAGACTTGCCACCCCACTCTCACTGTCCCTGATCATTGTCACATGGGAACATCCTGCAGCCTCTGGCTGGCCTTTGGGAGAGGAATGTTTGGCCCAGTCGAAGTCCCAGCTCCAGGGAAGGGTTCAGCATGTGAGTGCT